CTAAATGGAATACACACATATCAATAAGAGCAACCAGGGAACTTTTTAAAACTTAGGAGTTTGTACATCCTTGGAATCACTACTTTTGTTCCACTCGAATCACAACATCCGAAGTAAAAGGTGATTTGTAAATTCTTTTCAAAACATTTTTTACTATTAAGTCTTTTTGTTTTGAAAATTTCTATCGATAATAAATGAAATTTTTGCGAACAGAATAAAGTAAGAACTACATGGAATTGGATAAAGGCTCAAACTTTATTAATAGAATGGTAGTCTGCGAACGATGAGACTCCATAGATGATTACAAAGTTTGGAAAATCGTAAATATATGGGAAAGATACATTTGAATACAATGACCACTATTCTCCCTAACAACTTCGAACTCGTGAGCAAAGACTTCGGTTGAAGCTTCCTCTTCCCTTATCGAAGTCAGTATTGGTATTCCCCGGTGAAACATAGAAGAGTTTATAATATTCCCGCAACTTTATTTGTTGCTAGTCAAGTGGTTCTTTGATTGTTTTCAAGCCATGTTCTTCCCAGCGAAGTTAAGCCGTGAAATAGGACTTTGTTTCCTCTGTTGATACTTACCCTCTCGTGGAATCTAATCTTCGTCCTGCATGTGACTTGGCCAAGTGTTGTCTTCACCCAAGTTAGATTTGTCTAGTTATCCCCAGTGCATTATGGTTGTTTTGTCGGTATGCGCATGATAACATCCATTCATTCATACACATCATGCATAGATGAATTTAAAATTCATCACTCATTTGCATTCATTAATGTTTCGTCAGCATATTGTCCTCTTTGCAAAGTTATGTTACTCTCTCTCCAATAGAGTTGTCAACGTTAAACAGAAAGTGTATATCCTTTCAATTTCCCCATCGAGTTATCCCTCGTGGAAGAATTTTGCTTCAGCCTTCCTATTCAGTTCATTATCTGGATGGAGTGTGATCCCCTTTTGAGTTTATTTCTCATCGGGTGCTGACTAGGTTGATTATTTCATTCCAGTTTATTATTGGTTTGAATCTGTAGTCCCCGACAACATTATTATTTTGATTTCTGCAGGCTTCGAGCCTTGATTTGAGAATGTGCATTTATTTTACACGCAAAGGTTTATTTTTCTCCTCAACAGGAATGTATTGGTATTTCCCCAGGAAATCAAGCTTCATTTCTCGCTAGTCTTATTATTATTCCTTCTTAAAACAGCAAGCAACAATTCTCTTTATTTGAGCAACTTGTTCTTCCCAGTAAGTCTATTAATGCCAGAGAAGATGTTTTTTTCCTTCAATGAAAGATAGCCTTGTCATTATGGAAGGTAGTTCGTTAATGAAAATTTGTTATTCCGATGAATGGTAGTCTCATCATTATGTGAGATAGTTTGTTGATGAAAATTTGCTATCCCAATGAATGGTAGCCTTGTCATTATGGAAGGTAGTTCATTGATGAAAATTTGATATTCCAATGAATGGTAGTCTCATCATTATGGGAGATAGTTCGTTGATGAAGATTGATATTCCAATGAATGGTAGCCTTGTCATTATGGAAGGTAGTTCGCTGATGAAAATTTGTTATTCCGATGAATGGTAGTCTCATCATTATGTGAGATAGTTCGTTGATGAAAATTTGCTATCCCAATGAATGATAGCCTTGTCATTATGAAAGGTAGTTCGTTGATGAAAATTTGATATTCCAATGAATGGTAGTCTCTTCATTATGGGAGATAGTTCGTTGATGAAGATTGATATTCCAATTAATGGTAGCCTTGTCATTATGGAAGGTAGTTCATTGATGAAAATTTATTACTCCAATGAATAGTAACCTTGTCATTCTTGAAGGTAGTTCGTTGATGAAAATTTGTTACTCTAATGAATGGTAGCCTTGTCATTATGGAAGGTAGTTCGTTGATGAAAATTTGATATTCCAATGAATGGTGGCCTTGTCATTATGGAAGATAGTTCATTGATGAAGATTTTATATTCTAGTGAATGGTAGTCTCGTTATTATGGGAGATAGTTTGTTGATGAAATTTTTTTTCCAATGAATGGTAGCCTTGTCATTATGGAAGGTAGTTCGTTGCTGAAATTTGTTACTCCGATGAATGGTGGTCTCATCGTTATGGGAGATAGTTTGTTGTTGAGTTTGGCTGTATTTCAATGATAAAGACATTTCTTTGAAAGATTCTTACAGCAGTATTTTTTACCCTTTCCAGGTGAAACATCTTGGTTAAAGAAGAAACTGAGACCAGTTCGTGGCTTATAGTCAGGATCGAGGGGAAGTTTATCTTATTCTCCATCAAATGGTATCTCTTCGAGGAAGTTTCACAAGAGAAGTTTGTTGAGAAATCTGTACAAGTGGTAGTCTCTTTATTTGAGATAGCTTGTATTTTTACCCTTTCCAGGTGAAATATCTTGGTTAAAGAAGAAACTGAGACCAGTTCGTGGCTTATAGTCAGGATCGAGGGGAAGTTCATCTGATTCTCCATCAAATGGTATCTCTTCGAGGAAGTTTCATAAGAGAAGTTTGTTGAGAAAGTTGTACAAGTGGTAGTCTCTTTATTTGAGATAGCTTGTATTTTTATCCTTTCCAGGTGAAATATCTTGGTTAAAGAAGAAACTGAGACCAGTTTGTGGCTTATAGTCAGGATCGAGGGGAAGTTTATCTGATTCTCCATCAAATGGTATCTCTTCGAGGAAGTTTCGCAAGAGATGTTTGTTGAGAAATCGTTGCAAGTGGTAGTCTCTTTATTTTAGATAGCTTATATTTTTACCCGTGCTAGGTAGAACGCCAGAGTTTTGTTAACGTAGACTTCACCTTCAGTAAAAGTTGGTGCATTCTATTTTCTCCACCTTCAGTAAACGTTGGTGTATCTTCTGTTTCTTTACCTTCAATAAAAGTCAGTATTGTCCTATGTTTTGTTTACCTTCATTCTTGAGTGGGTAGTTCGTTTCCATTCTTAGGTAAGATTGATCTTTTCTGGTTAGCGATTTCCGATCCCCTATGTTGATGTTACTCTCTTTTTTTTATCTCCTCTATGAGTGGATAGTTCACAGCTATCGGTTAATTATTGTCATCCATCATTTTTCCCTCAGTTTTTGAGTTTATGTTATTTTGTCTCCTCTCTGGATCTTACCCCCAATAAGGTTGAGTTTTCTTCTCCTGAGCGGAGCCAATTTGTCTCCAATAGATTCAAATTTCTATCCCTAGAGTCTTGTTGTTCTCCAGAGATTTATTTTTCTGGTCAAACTCTTTTTGTTAATCTATTGATTTCGTTCCTGCTTCTCCAGTGGCGTCTTTTTCACCTATTTGAAGTTTATCCTGATAGTCATAAGCATCGCATGGGATCTTAGGGCCAAAATAGGGCTTGTTTTCTATTTAAGTATCTTCAATCGCGTCGAAACGAAGATTTTAACCTTCGTATCTCCAGATAGAAGCCACTTAAATAAGGGAAGCTGTAATACCCCAATTCTTTCCCCTAAGATCCCTCATCATATCATATACGTCTCATGCATATCATTGATTCCATGGTTGCAAGATCAAAGGCTTTGGCATTAGGGTTTTTCTATATTAATTGAGGTTATTACCTTACTCAAAGTTGGTTCAACTGGCGTTCTCATCATTCTTGGTTTCATCATGTCTTGCAATTGAGCACACCATGAGCTAGGGTTTTGATTCCTCCCAACACCTCAAGTCGTCTCCTCGTCATCATGTATCCAAATCAATAGAATTGGGGTTTCCTCCCAATTTTCTTCACCACAAGATATTACTTTCAAGAAGTTTAAAGGATTGAATCGACATCTTATTCTCATTATGATACTTATCAGCGGATTAGGGTTTTTTACCCATGGTGGTTGAGTTTGTCAATGTTTCAACTGAAGGTCATTGGATTTCATACTTCAACTCTTATCATTTATCTTCAACATGTTTCTCAGGGTTTTAATTTCGTTGCATGATTGTTTATTATCAAGCTAGGATGCCTTTATGGTTTAAAGTTCAAAAACATGAATCATGGCACAAAATGTGAAATTGTGGATTCATTGGGAGCAAGGCATTTTTTCTAAGAGAGTTATTGTGGTCAATGATTGCTTTGATATGTTTTTTGATTGGTTGAAATATGGACTACGATCATCAGTCATTCAATTAAGATAAGTTTCTCCAATTGCAAGGTAATGTGGACTCAAAATTAAGGGTTCATCCAAATGTGCTATGAGTTCAATGTGACGAAGTGGCTCAAGGTTTTGGTTCATAGTTCGCTATGGCGTTAGTATTGATATGTCAAAAGAAATTCAAAAGTGCAAGATTAGAACAGTCATGTATGCAGATGTCTTAGATAAATAAAATTCCAAGGTATACGTCATTATCAAATTCATTTAACGATTGTCAGATGTCATCAAAGTTGCAATTACAAATGTTCATTAAGATCATTGAAATTCGTCTTTACTCAAAGCTTTATTCATGAATAGAGTTCAATTAAAAATCGTGAAAGATATCAATATGCCTTCATTATAAGGTTACTCGAGATTTATTAACCATAGGTCATGGATTCCAGTATTTCATTCAATTGAAGATTGAAATTCAAATACCTCCATATTCGTTCAAGTTTAGTTCTTTGGAATTCAAGAAACAAGGCAAATTGTTCATATTTTACAAGATATTACATCAATAAATTATACATAAGACATATGCCTAATCCTAAACCTAATGGCTACCATGTTTGTGCTTCCATTTCCACCGATTCATATCTACAATTCAATCTTCATGCCTCGCCTTCGAATGTCTCAACCATATTCATATGCTTCCTCTCAACTTGTCTAAAATCGATCAACCATGCTCATATAACGAAATAGCCCTGTTTCAATCAATTGACACAAGCCCACATGAATGTCAGGAGCATGTCGTGCTGCAAACACAGGAGAAGAAAAGTGAGTAAATTCATATGCAGCCCTGTAAAACTGACTAACCGAAAACACAATAAACCAGTTCAAACATTTCCTAGCCTCAATCCACTATCCTAGCATGCTAGTGATAACCAAACTGCAGTTCATCTGATAAACAAGTTCAGAGAAGGCCAGTTGAAGCTGGTCCTCGCAAGATGAGCCCCTGCACCAGAATCCCAAAAACATAAATTGGAGGAAACCTGTTCATAATTAAAGGATACTAGTTTCATAACAGCTTTTGGTGCAGTAGTTTGATAACGGAAAAAAAAGATTATTATAAGAGTTTGAAACTAAAAAATTAGGAAATGTGAAAATAGAATAAGATTCAAGTCTAATTCTCAGCTTGGCCATTCAAGAAAAACGTGTCAGAAGGTTCTAACATCTCCAGCAGACCGACAAACTTTCTAATCAAATTCATTTCTACTCTCTAACTAACCAACTAACAGTACTAACTGTTTTCAAAATAGAGATAACTAAACTCTCCAACACTTCTAATCGTTTCCTAACTATTTGTTAACAGCTCTGTAACAGATTGGCTAACAGCTTTGTAACAAAATGGCTAACAATTTTGTAATAGAATTGGGGAGGCTAATAGATTGGAAACAAAATAAAAAACAGTTTTGGTAACAGGATGAGAAAAGATAGAAAGGACTACCTTGCTACTATCTGAAGGGGCTTCCACTAGAAAAAAAATGAGCACTCTGTCAATCTTGAACCTTCCACTCTCTCTTTCATCAAAAAAAAATTCATTCTCTCTCCAAACTTCAAGCCTCACCGTCTCTTCCACCCAGAATACTTACAACATTCTTCTCTCCCTCTGAAACGGTTTTTGTTACTTTCTTTCATCCTATCCTCAACAGCGCCTTCAACATCAGTATCAACCTGCGTTCATCTTCGACCTCTTTCGCCGCATCTGCAAATACAATCACAACATCATCAGAAGTGCACAGTAATATAGCAGTACACCAAAGATGCAGAAGAAGTAGATGAATAGAGTAAGAAATGGAAGAAGAATAAGATAAAAAGAATTCCGAAGAATACATGTTTGTGTGAATCTCAAACACCTCTCCGTCGCCACTGTCTTGAGGTATGCATCGTGAGGTATTGTTTTCGCTTCTTCTTTTCGGTGTTGCATTGTGATTTAGAGGTCGATTCACCATCTTCTTGCGCAATTTCCATGGATTAGAAAACCTAGGGTTAAATATCCCTAATTTTTTTTATCCTCAAAGTTGAGTGGAGAAGAGATCGAATCACGTGCATAATTGAGACTAGGTAGAACTATCTTCCGCGGTGGCTGGATGTTGATGGTCAATCAGAGAAGAAAGGCTGATATGTAGCGTTGTTCAACGTTTGAGGAGTTTGGAGAAGAATATCTCTGAGTTCATCGTACAAGCTTGCTCTCAAACGACATCGTTCACTCTGTTAATTTATTTTTTATTTCAATTTTAATAATATATAATACTTGAATTTAGTGATAAATCTGAATTAATGCTGATAGTGTTGATCTATTAGATCCAGGTGGGCTGAACACTATTCCTCCTTTAAGCCCGATGTGCCAGTTTTTTTGGTGAAATGTGATACAAAATGCAAAAAAGCTTCTTCTGGATGGGCCTTTTGTCAATTGTTGAAGCAAACTCCCTAATTCTAATTTTTACCTCCCTGATTTTAGTAATTTTATTTTAGTTTAAGTTTCTTTCAATTTTCTTAGTAAAAATAGTACAAAAAATAATACATGTAATAAAACAATAAAAAATATATAGAATTTAGGAGTTCTTAAAAAAAATTAGATAATGAACTACAAAAATTAATAAAGTTTTTAGGCTTTTTATTTGATTTTTTTGTAGGAAATTAATTCTTAATTGTTGATTACTTAAAACTTGTGATTCATCTTTACTGGTTGTATTTAGTCTTATGCAGGCTCATTGTTCGATATGCGGATGTATTCAGATTCCGATTGTGATTTTTTTTCACATCGATGAAACTTTGACATCTATTCCGAATATTCGATTTCTGACTGTTTGTTTGTTGATGCCAGCTTGCAGGAAGTATTCAGAGTCTCTTTCCTTTGGTTGCGCTTTTTGCAGACTTTATTGTTCATTTTGTATTATACTGCTTCCAAGTTATACTTCCGCATTTATCGCTTTCTAGATATCATGAGAAGTAGGAAATAAAGAGCGTGCGCTCGAAGTCGCTGTTTAAAGACTTGTAGTAGGCATTCCGCACTTCATTTCTTATATGTGTTGTGCTTATGTTTGTTTTCTTTCTTGTTGATCGATGAGTCACTCAATTTAGCAATTGATATCACGAATTCACTCTCAGTGCATGCTCCCTATAGGATTTTATCGTTTTCCTTTATTTCCTGTTGATCGATGAGTCACTCGATTTAGAAATTGAGATCATGACTTCACTCTCATTGTATGTTCCCTATAGGATAGTTTGTTAGACTTTCCTTGGTACGCTAACTTATGTAGGATCCCTCATTGTATGATAACATTAAGAGATAGGTTAGTCTCCCTGAGATGTTTTCTTCCCATTTTTTGCATTATTGCATTTAAAACTAAAACTTCTTTTTCTTGGCAAATGTATAAAAAAATGCTAAGCATACAAAAAATTCTTTTCATGGTAAAAAATACCAACCAATCCATTTCTTTTCGCCATTCGGCTTTTCTCTTCTAAGAGCATGTTAGCTCCTTTCCACTATAGGTCGTAAGTCTCCAAAGGTCGAGCAGCGGTGGAATGATCGAACGCAACATTCTTCATTTAAAAAATACAAACAAACAAAATATATGAGCCGAACTACAACGCTCTGATTCCTTAAAAGGGATACGTATGCATCTGGTCACCGGGCTCAGCCAAGCGAAAATTTTAAATACTTCCTTCTTTTCCCCGTGTTTTCTTTGCATGCATTCTCTCTTAGTTTATAACTCTTAAGCATTAGATTGAACACACCCTTTGATTAGAATAATGAGAGTGGATCCTGTAGAGTACTATGGACGCGTGGGGTGCTAATACCTTCCCCTCGCGTAATCAACTCCCTTACCCAATCTCTCGGTCGCAAGACCTTGATTTCCCCCTTTAGGTTTATCTTCGACGATTTTCCTTTCCCGTTCATATGGGATAAATAAATACTCTGTGGCGACTCCATTGATTTTTACTGCTACAGAAAAATGGCGACTTCACTGGGGAAAGATGTGTCGACCTATTGCTGGTCCATCCTGTGATTCACTCCTAGCTCTCGTTTTTCTTTTCTTAGGTTGTTTATCATTATGCTTTTATGGATTATTCATTTGTATATGTTTGAGCATATGTTGGCATTGCATCTTTATTGTTATTTTTTATATTGTTGTTGTGCTGGTTTCTTTGTTTCTTGATGGGTGGGATGTTACTATGAGGTAAAAGGCCCAATACCCAGGCCAAGTGGAAACCACAGGAACACTAGGAATAGAGTGGAACATGAACGACTAGTTGGCTTAGGTTTCACTATGCCGCCATGTCGTCCACGCTCAGATGAGGTACAAACGAGGGGCTATCATTTTCACGTAGGTGATATGGCGATGGTTTTTTAGGAGTACCCTCGATTCTGAGTTACCATTGACCTTACCATGACCTAGTCTTTACCCATGAGTAGGGAGGGAATAATCTTTACAGGTACAGATGGTGACTATACATGTTCCGTTGGTGACTCTGATTATACTTGTAACTTTGATCCTTGGTATTCTGAATTGGTCCGGACCCTTGATCTTATTACATATGACAGTGGTTCTGTTATCAGTTCAGCAGCTATCCAGCATTGCAGAAGCTTTGATCCCGCATATTTGGATACATAGCATGTTAGTGTAATCATCAGCATACATGTCCTCCGTTTCCAAACATCATTTCTTTGATCCCAGTTGTTAAGTAAAATAAAATATAAATAAACATTGAAAAAATATAATAAATACATAAAACAAATAATAATATAGTGGCTTAGTAACAGGAATCAAAGCATAGAAACTTTTGAAAATAAAAACATGGTATTTGTATTGCATATCATGCATCATGTTACGCTTGACTATGCATTTCATGAGTTCCACAGAAGTCTTACCCAAAGTCCTTTGGTCTTCAGAATCAAGTTGTCTCACCGGTACAACACTCGAGCCAACTCTATGAAGAAGATGGAAAATCTCGAACAATAGAATTACTAACTGCGCGAAGAGGTTACCCCTTTAAGAACCGGAATGGAGAACTTAACTGCTTTGGTAGAATCGTCGGTGGCTGCTCAGAATCAGCCACCACCTCCTCCACTTCCTCATGCTACGCAACCACAACAAGCAACAGTTATCTCTGAAATTACGACATCTCCCGTCTCAGTTGCTCCAAATACTACTGCTGCTCAGCATCGCATGCCTCCTGGATATCCATGGGGAATGCTTGAAGGTTATACGCCAGAATGATATAACCCTGCTCCTCAAATTACTCAATTTGTTCAACAAGTTATGACTTCTTCCCTTTCTGTGGTACATGTTACTCCTACTGTTAACAATGAGTTCCGTCATGCTGTTCCTCCAATAATGAATGTTGTCCCTGTTATTAATGACATGGTTCACCATCCCACTCCTCTGCCAAGTGAAGGAATTGGATTCTATGACAGAATAGATGACTTCCAAGATCAGTTTAATGAGATGTGAAAAGAAATGAAGGCCCTCCGGGGAAAAGAACTGTTCGGACAGAATTTAAGAGATCTATGCCTAGTTCCAAATGTAAAAGTACCTGCGAAATTCAAAGTGCCAGAATTCGAGAAATACAAGGGAAATACTTGCCCCCGTGCTCATCTGGTAATGTATGTAAGGAGGATGTTCAATCACACTGACGATCAACATTTACTAATCCATTTCTTTCAAGATAGCCTGACTGGTGCTGCACTGAAATGGTACATGAGCTTGGATAGTGCCAATATTCATACTTTCAACGACCTAGGAGAGGCGTTCGTTAAGCAGTACAAGTACAATGTGGACATGGTGCCTGACCGCGATTAACTCAGGGCTATGGTCCAGAAATATAAGGAGTCGTTTAAGGAATACGCGCAAAGGTGGCGTGAAGTAAACGCCCAGGTAATCCCCCCAATGGAAGAGAAGGAGATAACGAAGATCTTTCTAAAGACTCTGGGTTTATTCTACTATGAAAGAATGGTGGCGAGTGCACCAAGTGACTTCACCGAAATGGTGGGTATGGGTGTTCGCTTAGAAGAAGCTGTGAGGGAAGGCCGTTTGACAAGATATGAAAGTTCTAGTGGTACAAAAAACCTTCATATGGATTTGCTAGAAAGAAAGAAGAAGATACAAATGCCATTGTTCAAGAGAGAAGAGCTAAACCTCCTAGCAGGTGTCATGTGTATCAACAGCAGGTTGCTTCGGTGGCTCCGCTTGTTAATGTAGCCCCGACTACTGTTGCGTATCACAGAACACCCCAACAAAGAAATCAAGGGCAGGGTCAGAAGAGAGAATCCTTTGATCCCATCCCTATGAGATATACAGAGCTATTTCCAGCTTTGATTAAGAAAAATTTAGTGCAAACCAGGAATCCTCCTGCTATACCGTCTCCTTTGCCATGGTACTAAAAGGTAGACCAGACATGTGCCTTTCATCAAGGAGCCCCTGGGAACAGTATCGAGAATTGCTATCCTTTGAAGTCTGAGGTTTAGAAAATGGTTAGATCTGGCCTTCTGTCCTTTAAAGACGTTGGTCCTAGCGTGAAAGACAACCTGTTGCCTAAACATGGAGGTGGAGGAATGGTGAATATGATTTATGATGTGAATTTGATAAAAGGCAATTTGGTGAAGATGCATGCTGACCTTTGCAGGCTCAGCTATTGTATGCATGACCATAATATGTGTAATATCTGCAGCCAAAATAGTTGTGGGTGTGATAAGGTGAAATTGAGCTTCAAAAAGTGATTATCTCAAAGAACCAATGATGTACAGGGTCAAAGAACTGAAAGAGCACCCTCATCATATCTTCTTCAAAGCTTGAGGTAACTGGATTGAGAAGTCGACCATATCTTTTGGTGAATAGAGATTTTTCAGGAGAGAAGTCAACCATATCTTTTGGTGAATAGAGAATTTTCAGGAACCCTTGATGCTAACTCTTTGAGTTGAGGAGGCATCCTTACGAAATTGATTTAG